ATTAGTTGCACGTGTGCTGTCTTCTCAGGAAATCTTTGGATCCAAATTTCTCACCATGAAGTCAGATTCAACTGTCTTAGGGAAGCTGGGAAATATAAGTATCATAGCTTTTTGAGGCCTGAATGGTGGGAATGGTGTGTTAGAGTGGGACTCCAAAATTACGTTTGGGAGCCACCAAGGGAGCCAACAGCCTTGCAGTGCCCCTGGGCAAGGTGGGTGGACTGACTTCATGCTTCCAAACAGGGCAGGATCTCAGCTGGAAGGGACGCAGATTGGGCAACTGGCCCTCAGCACCACCTGGACTGCAGGACCCCTCTCCACTTCCAAAAGCTTCCCAGAACATGCTGTGCAAACTTTTGAAGCGATTTAAAGACCTCAAGGCACTACTACTCTTCCCCCTCTTTCCGCATCAGTGGGCCTGGACTGGGAGCCACTGTTTAAGTGTATTAAAACATTTGGAACTTTTCAAGGGTAAAATAACTTATGTAATCGCAGTATGCTAGTGACTAAGAAGTTATTTTGTTAAATTTCTTCATAATTACAAACAATGAGTAGTCCTGTGGAAACTTAGAGACTAACAAAAAATATGTATAGTATCATGAGCATTAGAGGGAAAAACAAGTGAGCAGGATCATTTGGAAGTTAGATGCAATGGAAATTTCTTTCAAATCCATTAATTTTGTGGAAGAGTGTAATATTTTGGAAATTTGGGTTGCATAGTAGTGGTAGGAAACAGTTTTGCTCATATATGGCATGCATGACAGTCAAATATTCCCAGCAAAGTTTGAAGATCCCAGTCCTTGCAGGCTAACATTGTATACCTATGTGAAAGTTGAAATATTATTATCATGAAGACAAAATACACTGTCTGGAACCTCATTTTAGGAATTTAGAAGGAGCAACCCAAGACAGCAGTAGTTGTATTGTACAGAATTTTAAATGAGTGTTTAACTGTACTATAATACTATAGTATAGTACTATAATCTGCTGGCTTCCATGATAGTGTGATCGCTAACAATGCCAGTGCATATTGCGTAATTAACCCATTTCTCATATTTGGCTTTGAAAGATTTCAACTGCAGTAACACAATTGATTTGGCTTAATCTAATTTAAAAGCACCATAAATACACATAGTAAAATGTTTAAAGAAGAGGGATGAAGTGAGTAAGGTAACATCTTTTATTTTACCAATTTTTATTAATCAGATACAAGATAAGTCATCTACCTTGTCTTGCTCATATCCTGTGAGTGGAACAACACAGCTACAACTACACGAGATGCATAGTTGAAACAGGAATTATTTGAGAGACCCATCATTGGGAGGAGCAAGAGGATATCTTTAGACCCTCCTGATGTCAGTGTTTAAAAACAATCAATTTTCCAGATGTCCAGGGGATAGTTAGACCTCTGGAAAATATTGTATTTTAAAAATTTAAATGTTGGCTATTCTGTCAATATTTTGCTGTGATTGATAATTTAGGATGAAGGCTTTCCAATCTATTGCTGCTTAGAGTACAATCTTCAATGCTTGATTACAAACAAAAAATCCAAAATGAAAATAAATGAAATATTAACAATGTTGCAATATTGTATCACTTTAAAAGGCAAAGAAGATACAGTTTATGCACAGCACCTAATATATCATTTCTGCTGATGACCTCAAATGCATGATTTAAATCACGTTAACAAGATATGTTAAATTATACTGCTCTTACTGATAAGATCCTCCAAATGGAACATAGCAAACAAAATACCAGTATTTTAATGTTCAGCCAATGCTATACAAAAACTAAAAATAGTAAAAACCTCTACCAAAGCAGTTAGGAAGAAACATTCACAAAATAAATCAGTCAGTAACATAGCATAATTGGAAAAAAACAGTGGCCTCACCAGACACAAAGGCTACGTCTAGACTACATCCCTTTTTCGATAAAGGGATGTAAATTAGGCACATCAATATTGCAAATGAAGCCTGGATTTGAATTTCCCACACTTCATTTGCATAATGGCGGACGCCGCTATTTTCCAAAACATAGCTTTTTTTGGGGAAAAAAAAAAAAACTTCCCACACTTCATTTGCATAATGGCAGACGCCACTATTTTCCAAAACAGAGCTTTTTTGGGGAAAAACAACAACAAAAAAAAAAACAACTCGCAGTTTTAGATGGGGCATTTTCGACAGAAATGTACTGTTCAGAAAGTTCCTGTACCCTCATTTTTTGAGGAGAAAGAGTTTCAGCTAAAGCATGATTGATGACATGTTCAGCTCAAACATAGCGTTGCCAGGTGCCTGGTACTGAACTGGATAATTTGGTATTTTTGCCTCCTGTCCGGTAAAAAAATTCAGAAAATACTGGACACCTAAAATGTCCGGTACTCTCTGATTTTTTCCTGGCCAGGAGGTGAAAACCCCAGGCTGTCTGGCTCAATACAGAGGCAGCCTGGCAACCCTAGTGCTTACCGGGTTCTGCAGGGGAGCTGTCCGGCCCTACACAGGGAGGCAAGATGGCAGGCGTCCACCGGCAGCCTGTTAGGGCCAAAAAGCCTCACAACACGTTTTTTTTTAGAGGGGCCACACTGTTGGGTTTGTTTGTTTGTTTGTTTGTTTGTTTGTTTGTTTGTTTGTTTGTTTGTTTGTTTGTTTGTTTGTTTGTTTGTTTGTTTGTTTGTTTGTTTGTTTGTTTGTTTGGTATTTTTTCCCTAAACCATCTGGAAACCCTACCCAAACATCACGAAAGGATTACAATTAGGGGTGTAAAATCACAGTTAATCAGTTAACCGCTTAAACGTTAGGTTGACCTAACATTTAACCAGTTAAAAGACTAAGTGGAATCTCACCAGTCCAGCCCCCTAGCCTGCAGGGCTTCTGCTCCCAGACCCCATGCTGGGGGAGGGACTGTTGCTGGCTCCCAACTCTCACATTGGAGCTGGGCCTGGGGATGGTTGGCGGCTCCCAGCCTCAACCAGGCAAGGAGGAGCCCTCTGCCCACAATAGGGGGGCTGCTCTCAGAGAACCAGTTAACCATTCCCCAGTAAGGGTCATGATTACTAGGTAAACAATTAACCATTCACATCCCTAATTACGATGTGTCCCAGAAGTTATATTAACCTACCTACTTGCATAGGGAGGCTAATTAGGGATAAACTCTAGCTGGGGAAAAAGTTGGAGAGAGGGTCTCATAAAAGGATTGCAGCACAGATACAGAGTGATTTGGAAGAGCCGAGATGGGTAAACTTTTTGGCTAGAGGGCCACATTGGCTACAGCTACATTGTAGCCTTCTTCTGGAAAAGCTTATGCAAATGAAGTGCAGTGTGGAATATCACCGCGCTTCTTTTGCATAATTAATTAGCAGACACTTTTGCATAATTAATTAGCAAGATGCTTTTGTGCAAAAAAGGAGCTGTGTAGATGGCTCCTTTTTGCTCAAAACCTCCCTCTGCGCAAGAGCCATTCTTCCTGAAAAAAATGAGGAATAAACGCTGTGCTTCATTTGCATAAGCTTTTCCAGAAGAAGGCTACAGTGTAGCCATAGCCATCCCAGCCAGTAGGGAAGGCTAGGGGAGGCTATGCCAAAATCCAATCAACCCCTTTCCTCTGTCATTGAAGATAGCTTAATCGGGATAGGATGGGTATGTCTACACTACAGCGTTAATTCGAGTTAACTTAATTCGAAATAGTTAATTTGAATTAAGCTAATTCGAAATAACGCATCTATACACAAAAACTATTTCAAAATAGTGATTTGCTATTTCGAAATAGCGCGTCCACACTGAGTGGACCCTGAACCGAAGTTAAGGCTGGCCAGAACCAGTGCCGGCAGGGCATCAGGTTAGAACTTAGTGTGTGAGGCTGCTGCCTGAGGCTAACTGAGCTCCGTGCTTAAAGGGACCCTTGTGAAGGGAGAGGGTCCTACTGTGTCCCGTCTCGGGGTCAGGAGCATGTCACGTCTCTTCACACACGTGTGTGGCTATTAGGCCACAGCCCCTGTGTGGCACACAGCTGGAGCCACCTGCCCAGGGGTGTCACAGCACGTGCTCACACGTGCACAAGTTGCTGCGTGATCCGTGGTAAGCAAGGCCCACGCGTGCAGTCCCTGGTCTCCCTCCCCACCCTCCCACCCCCTGCAAAGGGGACAGTGATGGCACTTACATGGTGTGGCCTCCCCAGATGACCCTGGTGTGGCACCCTCCATGGCGGCTCCTCCTCTGTGCCCTGGTCAGGGACCTCTGGTCCCAGCTCACTGCCCCCACCCCCA